TTCTGCAAATTTAAAGAGCATCTAGTTACACTGCCTTTTCTCATGCCCCGACCTACTGCCCTGCAGAATACACTGACGTTAGCCACCTCAATCTTCGGGCATTTTTCTTACTGTCTTTGATTTAATCTTTGGTGGAGCCGAACCCAAAAATGCCAATGCATTTTGATTTATACTTTTCGCAAGCATAAACTGTATTTAAGGCAAGAATGATGGTTAAAAAGTAAGCATCTTTGGAGTTTGTTAAAATCAAATTTATGAAAAATTGTTGTATACATAAGGGTTAATCACAAAAGTTCTCCCTAAGGTATAGTTAGATTTGTAGTTTACTTCTTAATTTTATTTTTTTCCCACTTAGTCCCCTAACAGACAAAACTAACCTTCTATTATGCTAAGTATTTTTTTTCTTTCTTTTATAAATTAGTCTTCAATTGTGGTTTAATTTTTCATTCGAATTTATGGTGGTAAAATATTAAACGGGAGAAGTAGGTTTATTAGAAAATATAATAATAATTGACTAAATTTAAAAAATGGTAAAGAAAATAATTAATAAGCCAAAGTACATTAGAGAACAAAGAACAAAAAGATGTCCAAATAATCGGTGTGAAACGTGATTATAGAAAATGAGTCATTTATTCAAATTTTCTAATTATAAGGATATAGAAAAAAAAAATTTCCTTCAATTTCATTTTGACGCTTGATTGAAGATCTGTATGTCAACAAAGCAATAGACTAAAATCATTTCTATCACATGATCATCAATCTGTAGAGGAAGAGAAGTTCTTCAGCTTCTTTTCTGCCTTTGTTTTTTTTCCCTTTCAAGTTGGTTTATATATCTTAATTCTTTCTCAACTCATCTTATTGTAACGCTAATGTGTAAAACATCTTGCCACTATTTTGATCCCAATGTTAGAATATCTGCAGTTCTTCATACTTACGCTCAGGATTTTTCTCATTTCCAAATTTTGATGGAATTCATGACACTCCTTTTTTTTTTTTTAATTCGGATGATGTGATTATTATGGACGAATGTGGAACGCTAATTAATTTACAGAAAAAAGAATCGAGCATTAAAAAAAGAATCGAGCACAAAGATTATGATTTAGGGAACAGTCTTGTGAAAATTAGAGTGCAATTAATATTTCAGTATAAACAAAATGCTCATAGAGAAAATGCTAGAAAATTGACATAATATGATGTAAATAAGAGATTCTGAATTCAAACTCTTTCACTTTTTTTTTTTAAAAAAAAGTACTGTAAATTTCTATAGAGTCTAGGTTACATTTTTCAACTTTACATACTGTCAAAAGGCAATAAAAGTTCATGATATTTTTCTAACAAAGTGGAATGGCCTCTAAAGCCTAAGATCATATCATTCCCAATCAACACTTTGGTCCTGCTCGATGCACTCTTTAATGGCCAGGGAATCCATGAGAATTTTACAACCTCTATCCATCTGGAAGCAGACCTTGTAGCAAGTCAAATAAAACATGGTAGCAACATATAATTGGACTAACTTGACAATGTAACCAAAATCATAGCTTTTTTTTTTAAAAAAAAATGGAGTATCAAAAGCATTTGCCTAATTTTCTCAACTGTAACAACTACACTAACACAAAGGGCTTCACATAATAGATATGGAGACACACTCACCCATAAATTCATATACCCCAACAAGACTATTTTAGGCATCACAAAAGTGATATATAGATCTAGATTAACAATCATCAAGGGTGATGATTATAGAAATACAGGAACATTTTGCTGATCAGCCCCCAACTAGCTATTGTAGTTCATTATTCCCAATGCTAGATTTGGAGCTTTCAAATTCAAGACTAATATGGATACATTTTCCGGGGTAGCATGAGTGTAGCTTCGGGATCCAAGTCCCCCAAATAAAGATCGCGCAAGGCTCCTCCTCCAAGAGAACTCCTCCTCCTACAGTCCCATATATCACAAATTGATTGAAAAAGAAGAAGCAACACCACAAATATTGGAAAAAGTGGCCTCCAAAATTTCACACAATCTGCAGAGAGCTTCATACAGCGTCTAGAAGCCTTAACAATTCGAACATTGTTGAACTTATTATTGACTTCCTCCACAGTACCAGCAACCTCAGATACCTTGTCAGGCTTTTCATCAGATTTCTTAAAGCCATTGAACATTTTGACTATCTCTTCAGCAGGAATTTTTCTTTCAATGACTCCAGATGTCTCCAACTTTTCCACATCTTTCTCGGATCTTATCAGCCCGCACATCAAGTCCACATATTCCCTCATTTGGGTCGATCCCATCTTCGACGTTGCCTCGTAGGCCACCAAGTTCCTCAGTATGACTTCAGAATTAGGACGGAGAGTGATAACTGGAAGATACAGTGTCCTCTTCTTCCTGCCCAGTTGAATATTTCCTATACCACATTTTTTAGGAAGCGGCTTGAATTCCATCTTGAGAAAGGCAGACAGCCGTGAAGCTGAAGGAATGCCAATTTGATCTCCCAAAGATCCATCTTTCTTTTGATTCACATGCTGAATATTCTTCTGCAAATTGCGGAGAATGTTGGCGACTTTCTCTACATTTCCTGGAAGTTTGATTCCAGCAATTTTTGCATCCGAAAGTGCAGAGTCGAATTCCTCTATTGCGTGCTCAAGAAACTCCCCGGCATGAGAGGCTACCTCTTTTGCAATTGCACCTACTCTGCTTTCCCCGTAGTGATCTTGATTTGTTTGAGAAATTTGACTCACCTCGTCGCCTATCCCAACTGAAACTGAATCATGGTTGTTATTTCTATTGTCCTGAGGGGTATTTTCTGGATTGAAATCTCTGATCTTGTTTTTGACAATCATTTGGTACATGAAATGCAGCAGATGCTTCTTATTGTCAAAAGCTTGGTCTCTTGAGGTCGGATTTGAAGTCAGCTTTAACGGGGAGTACTTGTAACAAAAACGGGCGAATTTCCCACGCAACTCTGCATCTGAATCAATATCGAAACTTTCTTGGAGAATCGTACGCATTTCCTGAATCAGAACAATTGGAATTTGGTTCTCGAGCATTAATACATCGGCAGCCAATGCTTCAGGCTTCGAGTAAATCCTGTCCTTTTCCACATCCTCGGACCCAGGGTTGTTCTTGTTCGGCTCCTTAGGGGCCAGGTGATCAATGAAGTTCAACAGGAACATGCCATCCACAATGACTACCCAAGCCAACGTCTCCTTGTCCAGGTCGAGGTATCTATCGTAACACGAACGAATTTTGGGTTCAAAATCTTCGGGACCTTCCTCGACAAGTTTGATGAAGTCTTCCTTGTTAAGGCCTTCCAGATAATCTAAAACAGCTGCCCGTTTGTGGCTTTCCATGTGCTGAACTTGTGGCCAGAAATGGTGGTATGGTCCGAGCCCTACTAGCTGAGGAGTATAAGCCTCGGGCTTGGTGTCCCTCAAGTTGTCTGGAACATGGAAGACGCAGGGGCGGACGGTATAGTTCTTGATGTAGTTGACCCTCATATGGTTTATCCATCGTTTTTGGCTCTCGCTAGAAGTGAAAACTGGAGTGGAAGTGGAAGGCATTTTTTGGTGTATTCTTGATTTTTGGGGGTTTTGGGGGGGGGGGGGGGTGTGATGGGTTGGCGCTGCTTAAACTTCAAAAGAGATGAGTCAGGTAAGTACTTACAAGTTACTAGCTCTCATTATTTATAGGGTGCTTGTGTAAAATGAGGCCTGGTATCACTTCCTTGGGCAAATATGTGAATTTTCTTAGGTTAAGTGTGTGAATCTATTTCTTATTTTTAGTGCTTCATATTGTGTGGAAAGATGTTCACGATATTTTTTCTTTTGTTTTTGGGAAAAAGTGAAAATTTTCTTAGGATAAGTGTATAAAATTTGGATTTATCTTTTTTGATACTGATATATCGGTAGGTTTAGATGTATACTGCATATGCAAAATTTAGTCTAACTGCATGCAATTCAGGAGTAAGTGGAGAGAATTTACACCTTTTTTGGTGTTCTTTTTTCTTGTGCCCTGTGATGTATAAAATAGAAAAATTCTGACTTATACGGTCAATTTTAATTACTTTTTCGGTTACGTCAACTATCACGTTTCGTACATGTGATTTGGAAATGCGTATTAGTAATCACTTGTATAAGTTGTTTATATTAACTGTTTGGGACTATGTTTTCTTTTTCACGAGTGGATCAAGATAAAAATGACATTTGGTTGTGGTTGATAATGATGCACACAAGTATTTAAACCATATACCCCTAAATCAAACCATGATATGTTATTTTCTTCCCCCGTCGTGTGGGGTACTTTGGTAGGTGTAAACTATCTATCCCTCTATCATGGGGGGAGTGCAAATAAATCTTCATGCATAAGCCATGATACTTTTGCATGTGAACATATGGATATGTTGCATTATTATCCAACAATTTAAAATAAAAAAGATTTATTTGAATTAAAAAAAACAATTGTTGACTAGACTTAGTGCAATTATTAGAGATAGTAATAAACAATGGTTCTTGTCTCCTTAAAATAAAAAAAAGATTTATTTGAATAGAAAAAACAATTGCTGACTAGACTTAGTGCAATTATTTGAGATAGTAATAAACAATGGTTCTTGTCTCCTTAAAATAAAAAAAAGATTTATTTGAATAAAAAAAACAATTGCTGACTAGACTTAGTGCAATTATTTGAGATAGTAATAATGGTTCTTGTCTCCTTAAAATAGAAAAAAAGATTTATTTGAATAAAAAAACAATTGTTGACTAGACTTAATAAGTCTAGTAATAATAATGGTTGTTGTCTCCTTAAAATAATAATAAAAAAAGATTTATTTGAATAAAGAAACAATTGTCGACTAGACTTAGTGCAATTATTTGAGATAGGAGTTTATTTGGATGATTTATTTGAGATACTTACTATAGCATTTTTTGTGATGTGATGTATGTGAGATAAAAAAGTGATTGGAAAGATAAAAAGGTGATTGAAATTTATGAAGTAAATTATTTTATTTCAAAACATTTCAATCCAAACACGATTGGTTCTTGTCTTCTTCCCAACGTGAAATGAACGAAAGCTGGACACAAGAACCTAAGAAGTCATCAGTGATCAAACGCATGTATTAAGATACTACATTTTTCAAGCATATTTTTAGCCAATGGTATGAAAAAGGAATCAAAAGGGCATTTAACAACTCATGCACCTGCGTACCTTTGCTTAATTTTTCTTGGACGGCGGTATATGATGGTTCACAATGTTATTCTTTAATCTGCTGCAATCAGCTTTCAAACATGCACATTTTTTCACATCACCAATTTGAACTTTAAATGACTAAAAAATAGTGTCCTGTTGTAGGTTGCATTCTCACTTCAAGCATTTTTGGTCATTCGAGCCTAACTCTCTATTTTGTGAAGAAGGAAAAAAAAAAAAAAAAAAAAAAGGGAGAGTGGCCCATTATTAAGAATTTATTATTCAATATTTGCACTCTGAATTGCATACACTTTTACGAAAAATTTATATATTTGGTAACAAAGCAACACCTAATTCACCTCTTATCTTGAACCTTAGGGCATACGATAGAATAACCTGATACATATAAATCCTCGTAGTGAAAATTGTGTAGGAGAAGGCTTGCATTATCCTCTAAAGAACCAAATTGGCCTATCTTCCTCGTTGCTACCTACCAAAACCACCTTAACCACCAAGTCCGTGACCAATCTAACATGGAGATAAACTTTATAAGGCACTGCCCCAATTTCAGGCTAGAACAATTCCGCCAGTCCTTCGTACTCACTCTGCTCGAAACCCGCAAAAGAGATCAGCATCTTTTGAACCCAACAGTCATTGACTCATTCCGAGGTTATCTTGAAGAGGTGAATGTCAAGTCCAAGGCCATCCCGGGCTCTGTCCTCATTACCACCGCTCAGGGTGGCTTATTCTGCGGAGGATTCGACTTCAGGTACGGTTGCAGAACATAATTTCTGAATAACAGTTTTTTATTTCATACACATTACATCACAAAAAAATGTCTGAATAATGTCCTATTGAAACAAAATAACAATAATGTCTAGAATTCAACTTCGGTTATTTTTCAGATTTTTTATTTTTTGATTTTTTGCAAGAAAGAAAAGGTGTAGATTAATGCAATTACTCGTGACAAATAAGTTGTCCTGTATCAACTGGATCAGGTATGCCCGGTCCCATGCGGGAGGCTCAGTGGATAGAGCATTCAAAGAAATGACTGATGGTTTTAAGGATGTAGTAAAAGACTTGCTTTCCCTTCCGATGCCCACCATAGCAGCAATTAATGGCGATGCAACAGAGGCAGGGCTGATGCTTGCTCTCAGCCACGACCATCTCACAATGAGGCAAGTCGATGGGCCGTATCTGCGAGCTGAGCTTTTGTCCAGGAAAAGGAGCTACCCCGGCTACTTCGCTGCCCTGATCAGGTCAAAAGTAGGCTGCCCTTTGGCTCGTCGTAAATTGCTGTTGAGTGACGAGCAGATTGATGCCGAAGCAGCAGCAAAGATCGGACTTCTGGATTGGAACCATGAGGTTGCAAGTGAGAAGGATGCCTTGGAAGTTGCAAAGACACAGGCAGACGAGCTAGCGAAAAAGGAATGGAATGGCGAGCTTTATGCTGAGATGAGACAACTTTTGTATCCCGAGCTGTGCAAGGAATTGGAATTGACTTCTAGCCATGATTGTTAAACTCCCGATTCTTCTGTTACGGTCTTAAGATTGTAATAGTAATACTAGTAATAGCTAGTACCATAATAAAACTTACCGGTTTGGGATCGCATATGCTTTGTGGTATACATTCAGCTTTCTCTTACTATTGGAATAATAAATAATGAATATGTTGTTTTTGGGCACTCGAGAATTACCTTTGATTTAAGTAACTTATTTGAGGTAAGTTGGCCATCTTTGGTCTTAGCTCGTGATTTAAACCAGGGTTCTCTCTCTCTCTCTAACATTTTATATAATCCATTTATTTTCTAGTTTTTGATCAAAATAGGATAGGACATTGAATATTATTTGTTTAGTAAAATAAAATACAGAAAGTTTCCCTAGAACTAGTTATCTAATTTTTGGTCTTCAAAATTTATTTAACACGAATCTTGAAAGAATGAATTATGTTCAGCCGATAAATACCATTTTGTGAGACATACACATGCTGTTGAAATGATATACATCTTATCCATATAGTAATTTTTTGCCAATTATTAAAATATTTTAGCCATTTTGACGGTGGAATTCTTACTGAGTAGGAATCAAGCTATAAGTACATGTAAATTTGGAAACGTGTGGCCCTGTCTATGCTCTCAGCAATTCTTCTGAGGAATTTGTGTTTGTTTCCGATATAAATACATGGGGAAAAACCTTGGGTTGTTCTACTTGAGCGAAGCTGATTTTAAGCATGGTTATTAGGATTGCAATCCGGATTGTAGGATGGTATGATACTAGGATTCATAACATGACCAATCGATTCAGATCACAAATAGGATCAAAATTTGGTTTTAATTTAGCAAGATAAATAGGATTCCTGATATGATCCTACCATTTTCAAACATGAAATTGAGTGTCATTTGTTGCGTTAGAAACCACATCCAAAGACTAGGTTCAGAGGACTTTAAAGTCATGTAACTACCTCACTCGAATTCCTTACCTACAAAAATTGGTGAATCTTTAAATTTGATTCATATGTTTCACTAGAGTAAAGAGATGATATTTGCTATAGGTTGTCACTTAAGGATAGTGTTTATTGTCTTTATTATGATAAATTAGCATGGTTTAGAGTATTTAAAGATGAATTAAGTACTTTTGCTATGTCTATGTGGATAAGTGGTAGGCTATAAATTTGCACCCAAAATACATTTTTTGGCAAAAAATTTATTCTTAGAATTTTCTTTGATTATTGTTTATTGTATACCAATTTTTCAATCATTTAAAATATATTTGAAACATTTTATTATATATGTAATATTTAATTATCCTATTCTGTAAAAATGATGTAATAATTGATCAATAAATCATAATTAACTAAATGTGTGGTGTTTATCTATTTTATTAATATATAGTTAGATGGTTTATACACATATAAAGTCAATTTTTCTAAGTATCTTGTCTAGTAATTGTATTTGGATTTAAAACAAGAAAGAACAAGGTTTTTAGTTTAATCAAAATACATTTCGAATATACAACATATGGTCCCAAATTTCTATTAAATTCCTAAACTGCCCCAAATACTTTATATTTGACTATTCTAATCTTAATTAACAATATCATTACATTGATTGCACATGAATTACATTCTTTGTTATAATATATATGAATTGCAAACTTAAAAAATCATAGATATGACTATATTTTAAATTTTTGGTAACATCTACCGATTCTACGACTTGATCCTGCAAATAAAAAATGATTCTAGATGGGATTCTAATCTTGAAAACCTGATTTTAAGGCCCTTCTTCACGAGATAAAGTCCATGGACCCCTCTATACGCAAGTCGGAAAAGGCTCCCAACTTGTGGCCTTAACCCCCATCAAGATCCCAAGAAAATCTGTAAATTAAGTGAAAAATAATTAATCTTTTCGGATGCATACTTGGCTGTTTTGATGAATTCGTGATCTTAATTGTGTGTCTAATATAATATGCCTGCTGAAGAAGCACGGAACTCCCCCTAGCCGAGCTGACCTGATAAGCTCGGAGTGCTGATGGAAGAGCTCGTTCCAAGCCTGCAAAACAGAAAGAAGTGATCTCTCAAAGGGGGCCCCGAGGTGGTCCCCGAGGGCACTCCGACGGTCAAGTTAGTTCTCCGGGGAGTAGGGGAAGTGCTAACAGTAAAGCAGACGGGGGTTAATTGCCAATAGCCAGCGTCCCCTGTACAATAGGTATGCGTTACCATTTATACCTGTTGAGGAGTCCGACCTCCGTACGTCCCAGAACTTGCCGTGGATAGCTCCCAGCCCCGCACTGGGGGGGGATTCTTCCCGCTCTCCGCGGGGTAACCCTCGGGAGCCTCCCAGAGCCCTAGCCGCCGCGCACCCTGGGCTGGCTCCCCGTGGGCCCGGGGTGCAGGCCCAACTCGGGCCGACCCTGGGCTGCCACGTGTACAGGCCCAGGATGGGGCCTCTGCACTAGCCCCCTAGATTAGGTCAGGCTCCCGGGCAGACCTGATCTACCACGTAGCCACGTGGAAGCCCATCATTACATCGCTCTGCCGCGGTCACCCCCGGTGCAGTGCTGACATTGGGGAAGGGACGTCCGCATCCTTTCAGTTGTCGCGTCCCTTCGGTCTCCGTACCCCATTCAATGCGTTCACATGGGACGGTTCAAATTCAAGTAACCGTTTTCCCCCCATTTTGGTTCCCTATAAATAGTGGCTGCCGAATTCCGGTTAACTCTATTTGCCATCTTCCCCTTTTCTCGCGCGTTTCCAACTCCCAGTAGTGCATTTCTGGCCAACAGCACCCAGATTCCGGCGACTTCTCCATCCCCTTTTTCACTCCCGTCATCAGTAAGTCTTTCCCCTTCTTTCCTCGCATTTTCTTTCTTCCTTTTGCTATCCTCTGTATTTTATGTCGGGCCTCTCCGACGTCACTTCCTCCGCCTCCCAGACTCCAGTCCGCCGTAGAGCCACCAGAATCTTCATCTCCTCTTCATCTTCATCTTCATCTTCGTCATCTCCCTCCCCTTCTCCTTCTTCATCCTCCGCTTCCAACCCCAACTTTCCCATTCCTGATTTGCTTGAGCCCGTTGACATCATGAGCTCACCATCCGCCCACTCTCCTTCTGCCCAACTCCGGTTGGAGGCGGCCGAGTTCGATGCCTTCATCGAGCAGCAAGCCACTTCTATCCCCTCTCCCAAATCCCCGCATAACTCTCCTGGCGGAGCCCAGGAGGGAGTTGGGGAGGACAGGGACTCCTCAGAAGGGACCCCTGCTGCCGAGCAGGGGGATGACCCTGAGCTCAACTACGGCCACCCCGACCGGGAGGAGACCACCCTCTCACCCGGGGCAGTGGCCGAGCTGGCCGTCTCATTCTCCATTCCTACGGCCTTCGAGCCACGAGCTGCCGGGTCCACCGACCGGGCTTGCCGACCTCCCCCAGGCTATGTAGCCATCTATAAAGAGCAATTGGTCGCGGGGCTTCGACTCCCCATTCCTCCGGCCCTGGCCGAGATCCTGAGCTACTGGGGGCTCAGGATAACCCAGGTCCACCCCAACTCGATCAGGATCATCGTCGGATTCCTGATCTATTGCCAGATCTGCTCCATCCCCTATTCTCTCTCTCTCTTCCGTTCCCACTACGCCCTCAAGGCTTCTCTCCCTGGGTGGTACTACTTCTGCCGCCGCTCCCCCAGCAATCGCGGCGGGAATGGCGCCCAGGATCTACTGTATGGGGTCCCCTCTTCCGTAAAAAGCTGGAAGGGGGACTTCTTTTTCGTTAGGAACACCCGATTCCCCCGCAAAGCGTGGAAGGTCGGGGGGGTCGGGGACGACCCTTATTCGGAGGACCTGGACCCTGAGGCCTTCGGCCAGCTGCTGGGCTCTGCGACGAAGCTGTACGCAGCCAAGTTTTCTACCGAGCAGATTTCCGCAGCCGGGCTATTGGGAAAGTTGTCCGGGTCCCCCGGAGGGGTGGAGTTCTCCCCCACCGACCAAGATTCCTGTAATAATGCTCCTGTTTCCCTGTTACCTACTGCCTTTCCCCCCTTCGTTTTTTGACCTGTGGCACTAATCCGGTGCTGTTTTTTGCAGTGAAGAGGCTCTCCAGGCTGCTGGGCGCGCCAACCGAGGAGGCCACCTCCGCTGAACAGTTTGAGGTGGCGAAGAAGGCCCCTGAGGCCTCGGCGACTCCTGGGGGCAGCTCGGCCCCCCAGAAGGAGGCCTCCCAGGCTCAGTCCCCCTCCAGGCCAGCCCCCGGAAAGAAGAAGGCAACGGGGCAGAAGAGGGGGCGAGAAGACGAGCCTCCCCAGCCCGGGAAGAAATCTGCGCAGGGCCCAGCCCAGCGCCCCCTCCTGCTGACGTCCGGGGGCCCTGTCCACCTGGGGGTAGGCTCCGTGGAGGAGCACGCCCAGGAGAGCGCCCCCCCGAGCTTGTGGCACTCCCGCCACGTGGCTCCTACGAAGCCGGGGCAAGCCCCCACAATGCATGATCCTCGGCGCTTCTGCCCGTCCTGGGAGCTCTCCATCAATGACCGAGCCCAATTCCCCGAGGTGGCTCGCGAGCTGGTCACGGGTTCAGTCCTCCCACGTGACAAGAAGTGGATGGAGCTGGCCAGCCCGTCCGAGCTCCAGGACATGTACTACACCGCCCAGGCCCAAGTAAGCCCTCTCCCTTTCAGGCCCTTTGGGGTCCCTGTTTTTCCCTAACCGGGGTTAACAGCATGCTAACTTTTACCTTCATCTCTTCAGGCCAACGTCGCCGGTGCCGCCCTGGTAACCCGCTTCTCCGAACTGTCTCCCGACCTGGAGAAGATGCGGAAGAAGAACCAGGAGGCCGAGCAAAAGCTGGCTAAGACCCTTAAGGAGGTAGAATCCCTTAAGGCCAAACTGGGCAAGGCTGAAAAGGGGCTGGTGGACTCCCAGGTCCAGCTCGCATCCGCCCGGTCTGACCTGGACCAGGAGAAGAGGGGCGCGGCGAAGCTGAAGGAGGAGCACGCCTTTGAGCTCTCTGGCGCCATCAGCCGGAAACGCAAGAAGGCTGTCCGGGACTTCCTCCGCTCCAACCAGTTCGCCGATGATGTGGCCTGCCTCAACCAGCCCATCTTCCAGATGGGCGCCACGCGGACCCTGGACAAGGTGAAGGGCCTCAACCCACCCGGTTTCAACTTGGCGGATTTCCAGGACTACAATCCT